CTATAATTAATGTTTATTTATTTAAAGCAATTTTGAAATATGTATTATAAATAGCATTATACTACTAAATATTTATACTATTAAGTTTTGAGGAACTCTCAAAAGCATGTGTACAACTCGTTATTATTGGTAAAGAAAACCAAAAGTTATGAACAAATTTCTCTATTCACAGTGAATAGTAATATCATTTAGTTCCAGAAAGACTTAGTTATATCATGTACAAAAGTAAATGTGTTATAAAATAATGGCTAATTATGATTCTCTGTGCCACAGATGGATTCTTACTGCCACTTGAGCCTACATCAAGCCTGTACCCCATGGAAACAAGGAAAAATAGAAGGGGAAAGGTGTAGTGCAATAACCTAAGATTAACCATGGGGAGTAAATTGCTATCTCTGTAGCAATAACAACATGGAAGTATTATTTCTTCATTTAATGAACAAAATGGGGGAAGATGTGGTAAAAAATGTAAAATTGAATTTAAAAATTTAAAAGAAACTAAGGGTTTAGAATCATAAATAAAGAAAAAATGGAATAAAATAAGAAAGCTCTTCCATGGATAAACATTTTCTTACATTTCAAAAAATAGTCCTTCAGAATGTAAAGGCAATTTTTTTTACAAGATCAGAAAAATATGAACTGCATCAGAAATTTCTAATAAAGGATTAAGCACACATAAATTCATGGTTTATGATTTCATTGCAAGGGTTCTAAATGCTTGAATGCTATTCAGCAATCATTTTTCTTAGCCCTATACCAGTAGTTTTTAACCCAGGCTACATATTAGCATCAGCTGAGTAGCTTTAGGAAATATTCATGCACAGACTCAACCCTCATATTCTGATAAAACTGCTTTAGGTATAGTATAGTACACTAGAATTCTTTTTAAAGGTCCCAAGGTGATTCTAATAGGTAACTATGGTTGAGAATCATTGTCTCATTAGGGATCAACAAAAACTTTTTGGAAAAGGTTAAGATAGTAAATAATCTAGGCTTGTGGGCCACAGGGTCTCTGTTACAACTATTAAACTCTGCTGTTATAGTGCAAGAGCAGCCTTATACAATATGTAAATTAATGGGGTGATTGTGTTCCAATAAAACTTTATTTACAAAACAAGCAATAGCCCGATTTGGTCCCCGGGCCATAGTTTACTAGAAAATTTATCTTGTTTTTCTCAAAATAAGTATTCCAAACATTCACCTATGCCATCCTATGTTCTGATTTTCAGCAAATGGCCTCTCATTATATTTCAATGGGAAAATACAGATAATTTGGCTGGAAATCCTTCAACTTTCTCATCCATCACCTACAGACTTACTATACCTACATCTGCATCTGTCCTCATATCTTTGCCTCCTGTTGTAGCAGTAAGCCTTCTTTTCAAAGTGAATCTAATCCTTTCACTTGTACTCATTTCCATCACTCTTCTGGACTCCTATGGAACCCCACTCCATAAAGAATCCCATTTCCTATGTCTTTAATTTCTCCCTTTCTACTGGTTCTTTCCCTTCCACTAAAATTATATTCAAGTGTCTTACGCAAAGAACCACCAAAGCCTTCCACAATCCTGTGTCCTCCTCTACACATTCACCCATAACTCTCCTTGCCTTAGAAATTCTACACACACTGCCTCTACCTTCTCTCTTCCCATTCACTCCACAAGCCTTGGCTTCTGTCTCCACTGAAAGTGTTCTATCAAGATCACTGAAGACTTTTATATGGTCTTAGTTCTCATTTTACTTGTTTTCTCTAAAGCAGTTGACATGGCTGACTGTTCTGAAAACTGTTTAGCTTTTGCAATACTATGCTATCTACAACAATTAGTTCTGCTGCTGCTTGCCACATCCATGCTGTTATTTGCTAATATTATAAATTATTTTTTCTTCTTATGTTACATATTCTCTGAACTATTCTCATGGCACCAGCCTCAACCTACATTTTATTTCTATTTCACATCTCTTTCTCTAGCTATGGGTTGTACTCAGGTATCTTCTTTCTTAATTCTGCCCTTTTTCCTTTGGTCTTCATCTTGATTAATAACTTCACCATCAACCCAATTGCTAAAGATGAAATTCTCCCTCTCTCTCAGGGTCCCTACCAACCTACTATTGTGCAAATTAAATATATATATATTTCCCTGAAGGTATTTTATTTCCACATGTGTGGTGAGAGGCAACCATACATATTCAACCATCTATAGTAGTCCTGTTTTCTCTCACTAAATTCTGATGATGATTCTACCTCTAAAATATCTTCTGAATCCATCTTTATTAAGCTTTTGCTACTGCAAATGCTTTAAGTAGACCTTTATAATTCCTCACCAAGATTATTTTTCAAAAACTTTCTTACATTTTTTTTTTACTTGTCCACATCAGTAGCTCCTACTTCATTTTCTTACTTTGTTTCCTCCTTAGGTCATCATCCAATTCTGTTTTCTCTTTGCCAAGTGGCAGCTAACAAAACTGCATACATTTCAGTAGCAGATACTGTGGTTTTATGTAAGGGAATAATGATCCTCTTCCAAATGAAGCATGACGTTCATTTAGCTTTTTGGTCCCAGGATCACAAGTTGCTGAAGTCATTAAACAGAATATATCCTCAGAGAGTCTGGGCACCACACTTCAAATAATAATAATAAAAAAATGGAGCACCCATTGAGGATAGTGATCCACATCGTGAAGGGAGTCAAAATCAAGATCAACAGAAGATGTTAAAAGAACTGAAAAATGTATGCTGAAAAGAAGATTGATTCTTTCCTGGATAATTTTCCCCTAGGTAAACTCCAATATTATCAATCATACATCTTTCATCCTTTACAAAAACATAGTTCACTTTCCTTAATAGCAATTGCTTACTTAAGATTCCTTTTTCTTAATAGAAAATTCACACAGCATCCCACATGTGCTCTCTATTGGCCTGCCCAACATGGAAATGAATCCCATCAATCTACAATGTTGATTCCCCTAGGAAGCCTTAGAAATGAACTCATACTGACATTTACCAGTTTGTTGGAATAATGGTCAATTTGAATGGTAGGCTATAGAATTTTTGTTTATTTATATTTTTTCCCATCACTAGTTAGCCCTTGTATGTCCTCTTCCACCTCCCAAAACACTTCCCCCAATCCTTTCCTCCCCAGTGTCATCCATGTTGATGAGTTATCCTTTTTTTAAAATTCTTTATTGCTAACTCTTTCCCCCCAGCCCAGAGCTGTCTGCCTGCTTTCTATCTATGAGTCTGTCTCTATTTTGCTTGGTACTTCAGTTTGTTCATTAAATTCAACATATGAGTGAAATCATATTACTTGTTATGCTAAGTAAAAAAAGTCAGTCAGGGAAAGGTAGGCTATAGATTTTTAACATAGTTCTCTCAAGGTAATACTGAATACCCTAATTTTCTTGAATGGGGAAACCTGACATACTACATTTAAATTACATTTTTTTTCATTCTAACTAAATATTATTTCCAATTTAAAAAACTGCATTGTTGCAAAATTTTAAAATGTCAATCTTTCTCTTCATGGCACTATAATCGTAACTACAACTTAGTAAAAATTATTTCCTATGCTATCTGGTACTTATCTTCTCAAAAGTATGTCCAGTATATTTCATTTCCTTCCCATGCTGAAATACAAGTTTCAGAAAGCAGTCATTTATTTTATTAAAAACCTACCTTTGCATCTGGTCCTGTTGAGGTAGTCTATTAATCTGAATGAGGTTAATTAAAATCCTTGATTATTAAATTATCTTACCTTGATGCACAAATCTGAAAAGCAAATCCCTTTCCTATTGTTTATATAATAGCAATGTATTAAAGTGACAGATTTCATGAACTTTGCAATAAATCAAAATATCTTTCATTTGTAGAAAGAATAAATTCACCGCATTTATTAAACAATACAGTTAAAATGGCCTGATAGGAATATTGATAGTGACCAGGCTTTGAAGATTATGTGATAATTAATCTTTTATCATAGAAATATAAAATGGACTCCACAGTTTACTTAATAAATGGGCCATTTGTGGTCTTACTCTTCTCCAACCTTTCTTTCTCATCTCACAGTCTCTAAATACCTGGCTCTGAAATAAATTGTGGACACATGAGAGAGCAAGAGCAGTTAAAGGAAATGACTTTTGTATTTGGAGAAATAGATTTCTAAACTCCTGGTAATAGCCTACTTTAAGGCTATCTAGTCAAATATTTACAAGGAGTTTTCTCCATTTTTAACATACTACCCTTTTCTTAAAATATATGAAATTCAAAACAAAGATTTAAAATATTCATGTATTAAGTGGCCTCCTATAATTTGTAACTAGATCTACTGATGATAATGAAACTCTAAACCTGGTATTGTACTATTTCTGTCTATACTTAAATATTAAAAAAAACCTTAAATATTAATTTGGCCCCATGTTGCCAGTATTGAATTGTTGTCTACAATGTTTATAAATTTTTTGGAAAAGTTCCATTTTTTACTGTTCATTATAAATTTGCAAAAAAAAGGTAAGCATAAATTTTTTGTACAAAGAGGTTGAACTGTGCTTGATGAAATTATAGTATTTAAAGTGGACACAGAAAACATGAAATAATTGAACTAAAGATAAGAAACAAAAGCATATCTAGAACTGTTCCTTATGTCCTAGCTCTGATTTGAGGAAAAAGTTTCATCAGCTTCTTTAGAAATATACATGGATAAATTTATGTTGAACTGAGCCTATAGGCTGCAAAGCAGGATAGCTACATAAAATAATAAACCAATGTGATTGTATGCAAAAATGTTCAGTGGATCTTTGCTATGACACCCAAAATATTACCTGCAAATTATTAGTAATAAATGTAATTTTCACTGGAAGTTAATTTATCCTTTCAAATGAGATATTCCTACCAAGAACACTCTTTCTTGCATCACAGAAATCTGCCATAACACATATGCAGCATATTTCATTTCATATCAGATAAAAACTGTAATAATCAAAGCATGGGTAAGTAAAAGGCTTACCGAAGTGTACAGGTATCCCTCGCTGTTCATTGCCAAATACAACTTTGTTTGAACTCCTTGAATAGCCACCACTCGAAGTCCCACGGGGATGAGGTTAAACAGAGCTGAAATATAAAAAAATGTAAAAACTATGTTATATTCTGAAATCCATAGGTTTCAAAGTTTCCAAAAGCACTATCTAGTTCAGCAAAAAGAGATGTGTGCTTGGTAAGAAAATATAGATACTGACTATATTTATACACATACAAATATATAGGGCATCTTCTACTTTTTAGGATACTTGACTCATGGTTGCAGTCACATAACTGGGACTATAACTACACATATTCAAACACCCTGTAAAAATGGAAGATAATTCCATAGTTTGTATAGTGTTAAAGGTGGGAAATCTTAAATCTTCTGGAGTGATTCTGTTATAGGAATTGGTCTATAGGTTAAATAGCTTTATCCTCAACAGACTAACATTTTAATCTGTGCCTTAGACAACTGCTGCAATTCACGGAGACATTTACAGTCTACCATTTGGGGACAAATTCCTAGAATCTTAGAAAAGACAAGAGTCCAATTCCCTCATCTAAATTGTCTGCAATATTTCCATTGCAACAACCCAAAAATAAATTTAGGCTTTGGAAAAAATGCATTTTTACTTTCTGTGTTCCAAAGTAGTATTTCTTAAAGAACAAATATTTTCCAAGGTAAGTTTTAGAGGGGTCCTAGTTTTTCACTTCTAGGAGCAAAGCTTATAGGAATAAAAATAATGAATTTGAAATGTTTACTTATTTTTAATTAATTAATTACTTTTTGCAAAATAGTTGTAAGTGGGCAACCAGCTGATGCCAATGGGGCCCTCATTTCTCCATTTTAAGGTTTGACTGCGTGAAAGTTACACCCATGCTCTCCTCACAATCACACACCACTCACTGGAGAAAACCAGTGGGTGTCCTCCCCCTACCAGCTGTCTACTCCCTCCTACACCCTGAATAAAAATAAAATAGTACAATTTTAAAGTGTAGTCCTTGCCACACACATCTTTTGAAAATAGTCTATGCACCTTTCTCTCAAGAGACCTAGACCAATGCTGATGATTTCTGTCTTGAGGAAGATGATAAATCAGTCTGCTATCATTTCTGTGAATAAGAATATATAAAGGAGCCGAAACCGGTTTGTCTCAGAGGATAGAGCATCAGCCTATGGACTGAAAGGTCCCAGATTCGATTCAGGTCAAGGGCATGTACCTTGGTTGCTGGCACATCCCCAGTAGGGGTTGTACAGGAGGCAGCTGGTCGATGTTTCTCTCTCATTGATATTTCTAACTCTCTATCCCTCTCCCTTCCTCTTGTAAAAAATCAATAAAATGTATTAAAAATAATATATAAAGGAGTCAGACCATGGGTAAGAACATTGTTAATCTCTTATCTTGCTGCATATAGGTTCTGCTCTAGTAGATGGGGTCATATGGATGAGAAATATTAAGGCACAACTAAACATTTCTCAGTGAGCCTACAATGTATCTTTCCCTTAAAATCAGAGTGTTACCAAAGAGGAGCTAGGACATATTGTACAGTTCAAAATACAAGTGTTCCTACCACATGTCACTGATGGTATTTCATTTAATACTCATCATATTAAAGCTGTGCTCTTCTGTTATGTGAGGTAAAGGAAAGTAATTGCACAGATTGCAAGCCAAGATTTCATGCTATATTTGACAATGCAATGAACAGGAAAGAAGTCTGAGATCTTTGAGAATGTCATGTATATCTCTTTCTATTGAGGATGCCTTGCTCAGAGTAGGCGCTCAACACCCATTTGTGGGTTGATAGCAATTTGTAAGGTGAAACAGGTTATTACATTTCTGGAAAGTAATAAATCATAATCCCATCATATAAAAATTCATAGTTTACAAATTCTGATATTATTAAAATAAAACTGAACCAAATCAAAACCTCCATATGGAATTAGTTTAAAAGCCATACTACTAGACAACTACACACCAACATAAATATGAACCCTAGTTTAGTCATACTAAAAAATGACAGAGTATGATAAATAAAATCCACAAGTTTCTAGAACTTGACTTTTTACAATATTCTGAACTTCCTTAGTTTTCTTAATCCAGCTTATAACAAGTAGAGAGAGATTGGTTTGATTTTCACTTTGTACCCCAGCCACTTTCTGGTGTGGGTTCTTTCTAATGAGCAGTAGAATGCTTAAATTACAAACATCAGAAAGAAGTAGAAGGGAGAGAAGCAAAGAACAATAATTGTATCTTGAATAATGTTGTTAATAATATAGTAAATATGAATTTCTCACTAGGTTCCGATGAAGCCTAATTCAAAAACAAAAATCATACTCAAAGAAAAAAATTGAGGACAGTAGCAAAAGCAGAAAATGGCTGGTCATACTACTCCAATCTTTTCTTTATGATCAAAATAGATCATAAATTGGGTTGGTTTAAAATCTGTCTAAAAGGCCAGTCTTTCCAGATAAAAATGCAAAGCAATTTTATTAGGAGTGATCTTAGACTGATCAATGTTTTTCTCTATTTCTTTAAATATGGATTACTTCCTCGTGAACTTAAGATATTTTTTTTAATTAGGATAAACCTACTGTAAATATGATAAATAAATAATAGATTTAATTTGTGTATCTAAAACACATTACTACTAGTAAATACATAAATTCCATATTCCTCAATGTTTTGAAGAAGCTTTTAATAAGAAGGGTGTTTTTTGTTGTTGTTGGTTTTGTTTTTGTTTTTTGTCCTCTGTCTATATAACAAAAATTAAATTCCTTGTACCTTGCAGGGACCATTTTCTCAGAGATGTGCACACAGTTGGTACTCAGTGTTTCTGAAATCAACAATGAGGTCATCCTTTCAGTTTGGCTAAGGTCAATTTCTCAAAGGGAGTAGTTAATAAAAATATACCCTAGTGAAGGTTGGAAAGACCTGACGCATTAAACTGGTAATACCACTGTAGGTTTGAAGAGAAAGTTGCCTATTCTATTAATATAGCTCTCACTGCACCCAAGGCAGATATAATAAAACTGCTGCCATGAAATGTCTATCATTTTTTTCCTTTTCAGGAGAAATACATAATTTACAATGGCTGATTTGCTCATGATGATATTTTATTGGACGGACATTTATCATTAAAATAAATTTATCTGAGGTCATCTTAAATACATAATACCAAACACATGATTTTAGAAATAAATGTATCTGGGTAAACGTGAACTGATCTGTCTTATCATCATCTTGCTTACCATCTCTGAATTAAATATAAAACCAATCAAATTAAACTAAATGAGAAAAGTATGATTAAAAATACTAAAAATTAGAAAAATCTATACATATTAAAGCCAGTGACCAGAATGCTATAACAACCAGAACCAGAACGACAGGTCGCTAATGATGCACACTGCAGCCAGCGAACCTGCTGATGGAGGAGGGGTGTGTCCAGCAAGCCAACCTCCCTTGACCCCTCCTCCAGGCCGGCCCCGCCCCTGATTGGCCTCTCCCCATGGTCTCTCCCTCAGGCAGGCCAGGCAGCTGATTACCCTCCCTGCCCCAATAGAGGGCAGGGCCTGCTGGCCAACCTCCTGCAGCTCCTCACCCCAGCCAGCCCCACCCTCAATGGGCTCCCACCACACCAATCAGGGGCAGGGCCTGCCAACCACCCCTGGCCCTTCCTTCCCCAAGGCCACTGGCCCCTGACCTCCCCTCACACCAATTGGGAGTGGGGCTGGCCAGCCAAATTCCCATGGCCCCTACCCTGGCCCCATTTGGGGATGGGGCTAGCTGGCCCACCACCCACAGCCCTCTCCACAGCTGGCCCCACCTCTAATAGGCCCCACATCCCAATTGGGGGCAGGGACCACCAGCCAATTGCCCAAGACCCCTCCTCCCAGCCTGCTGGCTCTGATCCAGCCCCAATCAGGGAGGGTCAGCCAGTCATCCTCCTGCCATCTCCTCCTCCAGATTAGAGCTGGGCCAGCTGGACCTCACCCCCACCCATGCATGAATTTGTGCACTGAGCCTCTAGTAAAAACATAATACTAGAAATACATGGTAAGGAAATCCAGTAATACATATTAAGAAAATACTATATAATTGAAAAAGTGCTGCGGAAAAAAAAAAATTTTCCCCCTTGTTCTACTCATTTAAAGTAATTAAGTAATGAATGCCAAGAAAATTGCTTGGCTTTAGGGTGAAAATTATACATGGCTAGACTTCCATTTTAATGATTCTCTTAATCATTAAACATTCTTGTTTTATTATGACTTATACCCTATAATATCATCAACTGGGAAGATACGCTAGCTCCCTCGCCTCTGGTTACACTTATTATCAAAGGTAGAGTTGAGCCCCACAGACTTACTATTTGTTTTGAGATACTTCTCATTTGTATCCTTCATGTTATGGTTATACTTACCATTGATTGATTTACCTTTCATTATTTCAATTTGCCTAAACACAGATTCTGGTTATTAATCTATGCTCTTGAAAGGTCTTACAATATTGTTAGCATACAAAAATGCCACGTGTATCAGTGACAATTATAAGACAACCAAAGATAGAAGCTATGCATGTGGAGGAATTGAAGAGTAAAATCTACTAAAGCTACATAGTAAGGAACAGAGCCTTGTTTTACATATATGTGTGTGTGTATGTATATGTATGTATATGTATATGAATATATATATATATATATGCATATATAGCCTAAAATGACTATATGCGGTGTAATCTTAATGTATTTGGTACATCTCTGTTTATAAGGCACCACAAATGAATCACTTATTCTTTTTTTCCTTTTCAGAAAATACATGTGAACACTAGACCCAAAACAAATTTTTATCTGATTCCAAGGTTAAAAATAAATGGGAGAGTCCTGACTGGTTTGGCTCAGTGGATAGAGCATCAGACTGCAGGCTCAAGGGTCCCAGGTTTGATTCCAGTGAAGGGCATGTACCTTGGTTATAGGCACATACCCAGTAGGGAGTGTGCAGGAGGCAGTTGATCAATGTTTCTCTCTCATCGATGTTTCTAACTCTCTATCCTTTTCCCAATCTCTCTGTAAAAAAAAATCAACAAAAATATTTAAAAAATAAATTGGGGAAAATTTGACTGTTTGAGGCTCATTAGCAGCTACCATAATCATAAATTTCCTTTCAACAACACCCAAAGGATCCACTGTGCTGTGGTACTTTGGAAAACAGCAGCTTGCATCCCCTAATTTCTTCTCCACATACCGATTTGTACATATTGGCTTACAGGAATGTTTTATTACTGAACATCATTACTAATGTCTGTAGTTACACTTGACTAATTTTTTCAAAGGAAGAACATGCATAAGAGAATGTCTAGGCTACTTTAATATCACAACAGTAACATGTCATTTTGCAAAACAGTGAAGAACCATTCAGTATTATTTTCATCCTAGCTACCAAATGATATTTCCTCACAGGTAATTAAAGGAGACTTCCTCTTGAGGTCATAACTTCGCCAACAGCACAGGAAACATTCTGAATAGGTGTGAAACTTTAACACTTAACTTTGGGACCCTAGTCTATGGCTTTGCTATCTATAACCAAGAATCTATACAAATGTATCATAATAAGACTCATTAGTATTCAGACTGGCTTTCTTGGCAGAGTTCAGCCAAAAATGGGAATTACTTCTGGGAAATTATCAAAGTCTGAAGGAAATGCAATATATATTAGAAAAATGGAGAATCAATTGCCAAAACTAGATGTTTTAGCCTCATAGAACCTTTCATAGGTCTGCAGGAATCTGTAAATTATAAGAAAACACCAATTATTATCACTGAAGATGGGGCTTCACTATTTGTGTGTTTGTTTTTATTACTCCAAATAAAGAAAGCATGTATAATAAGAAAATTATGTAAAAACTTGGAATCACCTTACTTTAATAATTATATACAAAATTTATTTTTGACATGTTTATTTTTTAGGTTCAACATTATGGCCTCCTATTTGGTCATTACTTAATCCATAGTTAAAAATAAAGTACTAAAAGAGACCTCTTTACCCACCTGTGGAGGTATCTCCGTTAAAATCCCAATTAGTGTCAGAATTATCAGTGTGTGTGGAGGAGGGACAGAAATAAAAGCTTATAACTTTGAATTCTTATGACATGAAACCACTTCTCTCTCTTGCGACAGGTCAATTCTTTAGAGTAGAAATAACATGCTATTTCAGGATCAGTTTGTGGGTGAGTAAATTTTCTGTGGGGAAAAAAAGTTATAAACTCTAATGGACAGTCATAAATCCATGCAGATTAACATGGAGATGACATTTGAATTGTTCTTCAGAAGGTGTCAACATTATTTTCTTTAGTTCACTGTTTTAGATATTTTTAGGTTCAACTTCCTTTAGGTTAATTTTCATAACCAGAATTACGTAGTATTGTCGACATTTTGCATTGTCTTCAGCGTTTAGTAAGGGTTGTTTATTTAAAAAATGAGGAAAGAAAACCATGTCAACAACATGCTGAGATATACTTATTTATTTTGCATTCACTTACTGTAAGTGCTATCCTCGTCTTTTGTGCCATCAATGGTTCCATCTGCCTGCAGCTGCAAGTGAAAGCCTTGTCGGCTGTATAGTTTGGTAACTATACCCTTAAGTTGAGGCTCTGTAAAGAGAACCAGGATTTGGATCATATGTTAAGTTGTGTATAAGTAGTTGAAAAGATTCAGAATTCAAACTTATAACTTTATGTACAACTTTTAGTGGAAAAGGTCAAGCTATATTTTAAACAGTCCTCTGAAAGAAAGAAAACAAACTTCATTTTAGAATAAATCTCCAATCGAAGAAAACACTTGATTTCTACCTCATAACACTGATAAAGCCCTAAAACTGACAGCAGCTACAGCTTATGATAGCTTGTCTTTTGCCTTCCAGCCTGGTCCTCTGTCCCAATGAGTATTAGGAATGGGTTGGCAAATGCCAAGTTCTGCCTTTTAGCAATGTGCCACTTTTCACATGGGAGGAAAAGAAAAAGAACAACTGGAATTAAGAATGATTTGCCAAACAGGAACCAAAAACACACTAGTAAACATTTCCCTCAGAATTATGGCAATTTGAATAAACAATCCCTTCCATTCTAAGAAAGCTGAAATACATAAATAATCCACAACCCCATCAAGGGACTTATATATAGAAAATTGAACTGTGATAGAAAAAAAGGCAGAAGGGAGAATAAAGCAGCCATTATCATACCCTAGCATATTTATTATCCTTAGGAAATTGGGTGCAAAAAGACCAGGGTTTTTTGTTGGTGGAAGGAAAGAAAAATAGTCCATACTTATTTTTGAATTTAATGTGAGAAATATGATTATCCTAAATACATTATCAATTAAAATGATTTTCAATTATGACTTACCATAGATTAATAAAGTACATAATTTACCAATAACAGCTATGTTATCCAAAAGTTGCTTATGTTGAATACACCTGCACTGAAATAATATTTATGTGATTATTCGAGGCTCATAATCATGCTTTGTAACCACTTAAGCCTTCCAGCTAATACCTTGAAAAACTTCAAGCCAACAGAAAATGTATGTTTGCATTTCCATTCCAGGGTGTGTAGAACACATAAATAGAGAAATAACAGATTGGCAAGTCTGAAATTCTGCAGTACTTACCTAGTTAAAAGAAAAAAAACTGAACTGATTCATTTGGTTATGAATCCCCAAATAAGCTGCAGGTTAGGCTGAATGCCTACCTTGACACAACCTGACACCTACAGCTGTGTGAATTTCCCCTGGCACAGGAACATACTGTTAAGCTAATCACTCAATAGGTTCAAAACGACCTTCTCTCTGGCTATGCATTTAGATCCTCTCTACTGCATTTTAGTAGCAAGTAGGCAGTTTTACTATTTTAACCAGATCACTCAGCTTTGATAAAAGGTTCTAGGAACCCACTCCCCTCTTTCCAGCAAAAAAAAAAAAATCTCCAAGCTGCACCACAAGTCAAATCTGTCCGATCATCTTTAAAGTGATCAAAGAAACAGAATGTCCAGACAAGGGAAACCCAGGGAAGTTGGAGAGGAAGGGTCAGACTTGCAAGAATAAAAGGCGAGGGAGAAATTCCCTGGGTTATCCTTGGTTGTGGGAGAGGGAGAATGGTGTCTGCCCAGCTCCGCGCCTGAAATGTACACACACACACACACACACACACACACACACACACACACACACACACAAAAACTGTGGCCATGTCTGTGTCGCGCCTGCCCGCCCAGGGGCATGCACACATGTGGCACGCCTGAAGCTAGGGGCGCGCCGCCTGAACAGGGCATGGCTCTGCGCCTGTCCCATGGCAGCGGCAATGCAGCAAGCCAGGTGCTGTCATGAAGGAGATGAGAAAGCAATCACTTCCCTCAACATGCACATTGGCTAGGTGGCCACATCTATGCAAGGTGAGCCACCAACAAACTCACCTACACGCCCTCTTGCTCCTCCAAATCCGTAAAGTATGAAGCAAAAAAACCACCACCACAACAAAACCAAACCAACCCAAAGCCCCTTCCGACCTGGTCTCCTTCTGCGCCGCTTTTTGGACCCGAAGAGTTTGACCCGGGAAAAGACGTTTAACTTGTTTTTGTCGCAGCTGGTCTTGCCTTTGCTGGGGCTGCTGACACATTTACAGGCGTTGGATTTCTCCCGCTCCCGGGCTTGTCTCTTCTGCCGGATCAGGGAGCTCGCGATCGCCGCCGCCATGGCCACGACGCCCACCACCACCACTTCTTTCCTGCCCCTTTCTGGCTTTCCCTCCTCCGCCCTCTCCGCAGCCTCTCCTCTGCTGCCCTACGCCTTTGCCGCCTTTGGCTCTGGAGCCTGCTCGCCTGGACTTCTCCGCTCTAGGGCTTCAGCCCAGGAGGGGGCTCAGCGTGCCGTCTGAGCTCCTCTGGCAGCAGTGGTCCCGCTCCAGCGCAGGCTTCGGGGTTCTGGTTCCAGCAGCAGGCTGCCTGGGTCCAGCAGGCTGCCTGGATCGAGCCTACGCCACAGCCCCGGGCCGGAATCGCGAGCGAGACGGGGGGGACAGAGGCAGAGCTGCGCGACTGCGTGCGCTTGGCCCCTGCGCCCCGAGGACACTGTGCAAGTCCAGGCGGCTCTGGTCGGAGTTTGGCTGCACCCCCCTCTCCCTCCCGGTCCTGTGCTTCGCGGAGGGGGGTTGCAGGAGGGAGGCGAGGCAGGCGGAGGGAGTGCGCGGGCGGGAGAGAGGCTGCGAGTGCAGGCGGGGGAGGGAGGGGAAAGGGGGCGACGCTCCGGGGAGCGCTTCCTCACCCTGGCCCCTCGGACTCTCGGACTAGTCCTTGCAACTTCTCGGGGTGATGATCAGGAAAAGTTGGCCGGCGCCAGCTTTCCGACGGGGATCAAACAGGTAATGGCCTCCCATCTTCGCGGTGGTTGTCGCTGCAGCTGCTCTGGGCAGGGCGCGGCACGAAGTCTGAGCACCAGAATCCCGTGGCTGCAAGCAACCTTCTCAGGAAGAGCTTTTCTCCTGCTCATCTAGCTAGACAGCCGCCCAGAGAACCCCTCCCCTGGCGGCCCAGGCCTCTCCCACCCGCCCCCCACCCCCCAAGTCCCCAGCTGGCCGCTGGTGCTTAAGCAGTGCCCCATCTGTAGGGGCTTAAGCAGTGCCCCATCACTAAAACCTTCTCCCTTCCTCTTCCCTTCCCGAAAGGAGCTTCGGGAACAACAGTGATGGAGGAGGTACCAGGATGAGCTAGTTGCATTGGAGGAGCGGAGGTGGGGGTGAAGGGGGTGGTGCTTGAAGATGGGGAACAGCAGGATGGGGTGTTTCTTAGTATATAACTCTCAGGTGACCAGGTAAGGAATGCCCCAGCTGGAGTCCCCAGGAAGTTCCTGTTACTTGCTCTGAGCTCAGACTCACACCCCCCCCCTACACACACACACACACACACACACACACACACACACACACACACACATCATTGAGGTATTTTGCCTGGCAACACTTGTAGCCATTCTGGAGAGAGACCCGAGCTCCCAGATGAATTTAGCCCCCCTACCCCCACCCCCACTCCTGTGGCAGCAGCAGAAGCAGTGGCACTGCAGAGCTGCTTCCGAACACCAGGCTGCCACCCAGTGGTTTTGGCTGAATTTTCATTTCTAGCCAGTAGGCAACATCAGAACCCCGCTTTTCCTGGATGCCTCCTTATCCATTATGTTGGAGTTGGCATCCCAGCAGAGCTTGAATTGTGCCCCATAAGCAGTCTTAGGGAAATGCAGAAACCATCCTATCCTCCTTATTTAAGTCCTAGCCTATCTCCAATCTCCTAACTTCTTTCTCTCCCCCCCCCCTCCCCACTGGCTCCTCAAGCTCAGGCAGCCTCTCTCCCTCCAACTCGGGAATCAAGTCCGGCCTTTTGCTAATCTCACTCTATTCACAAGTTCTGTACTTGCCCTGTTCCGTATTTCAATCTGCAGTAGGAAAATAAAGAATGTTGAGGTCAAGAATATTACAGAGAATGGTATATATCCACATCCCTCCCTTCAAACAGAAGCGACTATTTTACATGATTTCTGATGCCAAAAACGATGCCTCCAATAGGGCTGCTCTATCTTGGAGCTGCCACTACACTACCTTTACTGGACTTCCACCTCCTTCAGATCTTTTCAGAATAGATGTAGATGCAAAACCAAATGCCCAGACTCCAGCACTTCTTTTCTTGCCTGCACTCCCAACTAGGAAACTTGGACCATCAGAGCTGAATCACCTTACCCTTCTGTAGATTCCACAGTTGGTCCACTGCCAGCTGCTGACACCCACTCACACACGCTTCTCCCCAATTTTGAATATCTCTTGCCTCATCAGAAGCACTGCCTTGGCCCTAACCGGTTTGGCTCAGTGGATGGAGTGCTGACCTGCAGGCTGAATGAAAGGTCCCAGGTTCGATTCCAGTTAAGGGCATGTACCTTGGTTGTGGGCACATCCCCAGTTGGGGGTGTGCATGAGGCAGCTGATCGATGTTCCAAAATCAGTAATTCATATATATATATATATATATATATATATATATATATATATATATATGAAGCACTGTTTTGTGCCAGCAGAAACAGGCTGGGATGAAGGTTGCAGGGACAAGATAAGACAGTTAGTTTAGGAGGATGATACCAAATGGTCTGAGATTCCCTGCAGAATAGCCTACATTTTTGTGCTTTTGGCTTTCCCACAAAAAAATGGAGGACATGGTAGAATGACAAGTCAATTCAAGTATCCAATTCTTCAGACTTTGATTCATGGGGGGGAAAGTCCTAGTCTGCTCCAACTGGACTTTGAACACCTTGAAACTTGGACTAGGTCCTATCTCCTGGCACAGTTCCTGTCACAGAGTTTATGCTCAATAAAAGTTTATTGGAAATAATTGATGATGACTGGTTTATATTGATTCTGGAGGATGGGAGGATGTTTCCTGGCTCAGAATGTATGCGATTCAACTTCCAAGTATTATGAAGGGACATAATCTCACTAAAAGGAGGGTCGGACCAAAGCTAAACATTTGGGGTGAGGGAGGGGCAGTTAAGATATTCCTACTCACTCTCTGCATGTGTCTATCTTCTGAAGATCCCCAATCCCAAAGGTCTTTCTTTCTTT